AACACATAAAAGCGCAAAACGCATAAACGCAAGACGACCCCGGTGTATGTGTTTTGTGTGTGCGCGTATGTTTATGTATACGTCTATCTGAATATTTCAACTTGGCAACCAAACAAGCTTCGCCGCTGAGATTTTGCCGGTGAGCTTCCCGACCAATCCTCATGCATGTCTGGGCCTCACGTATGAGCGTGTGAAAGTTTTGGCGGGAAAATTGCTAACTCGAGAACCAGAAAAGCTAGAAAGCTGGAATTTCAAGGGGATTTTCCCCTCCACATAGAGCGCAGAGGTTTCAAATTCAGCCCCACGTGTGCGTAAGCTCGCACGGTCCCGTGAAAGTTTTTAGCGCGAAAATCGCTAACTTAAGGACCAGGAGAACTGAAAGGCAAAAATTTTAAGCAAATGTTCCCAGCCCACATACAACATAAATATCCCTATTTGAGACTCCAGAAGTGCGTGGTTCTCACGTGCGACCCTGTGAAAATTTTTGGTGAAAAAATTGCTAACTCGGGAACCAGGAAAGTTGGAAGGCTGAAGTTGATATTGAGGGGGACTCAGCAGTCCTGGACGTGATACCTAGATCTCACCTAGACATAAACCATGGCACTACAACTTTAGAAGCTCGAACCAAAACTGAGCGATACTGCGCGGATGAGCCGAGTTTTAGCAACTGCTACAAAACCAATCCAAGCTGGAGCACATCAGACTTGTCGGTGCGATCATGCGTTTTTGCACTAAACCCCTATGCTGTAGTTTAACACTGGGACTCATTTTGGCTATGCTTCGACCTTTTCCCGCATGCAGAAGGAAAGAGCGTAGGTACTGCATTATAGAGCCGCATGGACTTCCAGCGTATATGATTATCAGTTTTTTTGCATGAAGCCCGGTGGTTTTTCCAGTGAATGCTCGCTCACTGAAGCCCAGGTAAAGACGCACCAGGCTTGCCGGTGCGATCATGCGTTTTTGCGCCAGACTTGAAGCACTCAGATCAGTAACTGCATGGATGTTGTTGCTTTGCACCTACCTTTTGCGCGCGCTAGCATAAATCACCATAAATTTTGCATGAAGTTAATAAACAATTTCCATTTAACGATAGATCATCGGAAGTAACCTAGCTTTTCAGTGACAATTTTCCCGCCAAAAGCTTCAATTGTCCACACGTGAGAAAGCTGTATTTGGACAAAATTTCAGCTTTTTGACACTCCCCTAAAATTTCAGCTTTCTAGTTCTTCTGGTTCCCGAATTAGTAATTCTCCCACCAAAAATTTCACATGCCCGTACATGGGTACCCTAGGCACTTGGGAATCTGGATTTGAAGTCTTTAAATTACACGCGGAAAGGGGACATACCCCTAAAATTCCAGCCTTCCAGCTTTTCTGGTTATCGAGTTAGCATTTCTCCCGTCAAATCTTTCATGCGCTCATATGCGAGAATCACCCACAACTGAAGGCTGAATTTGAAACATTTAGATTGTGCTTGGACGGGGAACATCCCCCAAAATTTCAGCATTCTAGCTTTTTCGATTCACAAATTAGTAATTTTCCCGCCAGAACCTTCATACGCCCTTACGTGGGTACTACACACACCTGGAGGTTGAATTTGAAATCGTTTACTTACACATGTACAGGGAATATCTTGCAAAGTTTCAGTCCCCTACTTTGTCTGGTCCCCGGGGTCGCTTTCCTGCTAAAAAATTCGCATAGTTTTTAAGTCGTTCGTACGGGGCACTCAGGCGTAGGCTGACAATGAGATCAAAAACGGAAGGGTCGCGCATGGTGTGCACATACTGCTAAAAGTTTCAGCTTTCTATCTTTTCTGGTGAAAGTGGGTGACAAAAAGTGCGAATACACAGACAGAGACACACACACAAACAGCCTCTTGCCAATATGCGTTTTTGCAATTTGCATATACGCAAAAACACATTAAAAAATGCAAATTTGAAGGAAATAGGAAGAGAACTACGAAATCTGCAAAACGAACTCGCTTTTGAGTTTGCGATAAAACTGAGTATTCATCGTGCCCACCTGCAGGGAATTTCACCTCTAACCTGAATTGAGACCGCACATGAAAGTAGAATATCCCAGCGAAGTTTCAATCTCACAAATTAGCCGGTAAGCGAAATAGCCATTTCGCCACAAATATCTTTGAAGTGGCCAAAGTCGTGGCGCAAGTGCAGATCAGAACTCAGTTAGGTTATACGACTTCCCATATGAACGATAAATATTTTGACAAAATCCCAGCCACTGTTTTCCAACCAATTTCCGAGCTGGCACAGTGCCAAGTGCGAACTTTGACGTAACTGTACGCGCTGCATAAGC